GGCCCGCCCGGTGGCTCTGCTCGCGCCACGGCGGGCGGGTCTCTGGCCTGGCCGGGGCCCGGGGCTCCGGGTGTGAGCCCGGGCGGGCCGCACATGTGGGAGTCCCGCCGGGCGGTGGGAGCTGCTGGGGGCCCTGCTGCACCTGCTTCAGACACTGCTGGAGTAGGCTGTCAAGCGCCAGTTCAGCTCCTGGATGTGTCTCCCCTCAGCCGGATGGGTGCTTCGTTTTCACCAACTTAACCTTTGCCCTGACTTAACCCAGGCCCTAGAGAAAGAGTATTGCCACGGCATTAGTGGGGACCTGAAGCTGAAAAAGCACGGAGAACCCCTCGCCCAGTTACCAGGGTGGGGAGAGGTCCTGGCACAGAAGCTTCATTGCAGTTTTAGCCATCTAAGGGCCCAAAGCTGATTCCACCGAAGTCCACTATAGATTGCCTGAAGTCATGGAGCAACTTGGGTTTAAGAGGCTGCGGGAGCTATTGCCCCTGCGTCCCATCTGGGACATCACTTTTACCAGTGATGCTCACAAGACCCTTCTTTCTCCTTTATGGGAGTACTTCTTTCTGGATCTGCCTCCTGTTTGTGGCCTTAAATGCAAGAAGGATCACCACAGAGAACCTGCTGCCCCCATTCATCCTCCTGAAGGCTTCTGGCAGGTGCCCGTGCACAAGGTCCTGCCAGAATTTAAAAGTGTAAAACTCCATGTTTCATGTGAGGGCTGAAGGAAACCACTACATCTTTGCAACGAAGTAGTCTGCTTCTCAAACAGCAGGGATTTTCCTCAGCCATATCACTCAGAAACAAAGGAATACTATGTAGTTCTTTAAAAACCACATATTAACTTCCTTTAAAAAGTGAATAAAGTGCTGTAAAAAAAAAAAAAGTACCTTAAACAGGTACCAAGAACCCAAGAATTTTCAGTCTTACTGCAAATTAGCAAATGTACATCACTCTAATGTCCATTTATCCTCAAACAAAGGCTTCCTTTAAAATAACTACAGCTGCAGGGAAAGGTAGAGATTTGCTAAGCTGGAAAAGCTAATACCGTTTCAGTATTCTACAGTTTTCCTGGTTACAAAAAAAAAGTATAATCTGTTCATATGTTTGTAGTTTGAGATTTTTAAACCGAGGATAGAAATCTCTTCAATTTTATGGAAACTTTACTAAAATAAAATTATTTTAAAGAACAAATTTTGCTCTAAGTAATTGTTTTAAGTTACATGAATCCACCAGTGTTTTTTAAAGTGGAACAGGATGACGTGACTTTCCACACTGATGGTATTTCAAATGTTCAGGAACGGTCATAAAAATTTGTTGGGGAACCTTTATTTTTACTTTCTTTTCTCAACACCATTTTCCAAAAATCTTTCTATAAGCCAATTAAAACAGGAAAGGATTTTAAAAAGAGGGCAAATCACTCTAATGGGAGGGCAAACCACAGCGCAAAGCTGAAACAAAAGAATACGGCAGCAAAAACCAACGCAAGTTTTCCGAAGTGGCTGTCTCAGGCTGCAGGCCGTAGACAAGTGGCCTGTTTTCAAAAATGATGGCCCAAGAGAACTGCTGTCTACAAGTGCCTGGCTGTATAGCAACTGTGGAAATCAGGTCACCTGTCCGGTCCCAAACTCCTTATTTACTTTTTCACCTGTGGCCATTTTACCCGGGCAGAGCCGCGTGGAAGCACAGAAGTTATTGTGGGCACGGAGGAACCTGCCAGAACGTAACAGCTTTCCAAGCTGGGGAACTAAACACACATTTACCTAGTTTTGGCGCAATTAAACTGGCCTAAATCTGACACATTCTAAAAACTGAAAGGAACTGTTTTTAGAAAAGCACAGTTCTTCTGCTTATGAAAGTTAGTTTATGATTGAGCAATTGTGTTCAGTAGGTGAGAGAACCATTACATTGTGACAGACACATGCTATTTCCAGCCAAGATGTACCTTAATTTTGCAGTGGTTTGGAAGGCGTTCGTATTTTACAATCAACATAAAATTCTTTAGCTCCAATTCTTCTGTAAATTTTCTTTTATGCTATGCTGTTCTTTCTAAAAGCCCCCCTCAACTAGAGATTAATGTACTGCTTGTAACAAATACAGAAACTTTTAGTGTTAGTAACACTTCATACATATTACTTCAGCTTACTTGTAAGCATTAATCAAACTCTGTTAATAAATCACCAAATATTGTGAAAGCTTAAATACCTTTGACCAGACTAGGAACCAGCCTGCCAGAAATCCTACTGGTCTGTCAAGTCGTATTGAATTCTCCTGAATCTTTTGCTATAAAAATAAACAAAATTATATCTTACCTCAAAGGGAAGGGAAGCATTCACTGTCAGACTTGTCAATATTATCTGCTGCTCTTGCCCCGAACAATTGTTCAGTGCCCTTTATGAAAAATTAATGAATTGCAGTTAAAAGGAGATAGGTAATAGCACACTGATCTTTTCTGTTTTCTTCCAATAAAGAGATACTGCTCAGCACAGCTCCCGGAGGAGATGAGTTATTGTAGCTGCGCTGCCATTATGTCTGTGTGTGCAAGTGTAACTGTGCCTTTGCATCCTCCCCAGTATTTTTAAAATTTTGGCCAATCTCAGTCACATCCACCAGAGAAATTAACTTCTGACAAGTTTCTTTGAATTAGTTCATCTTTTAAAGGAGAAAGCCCTGAATTAGTGCCTCCCCTATGGGGAAGATTGCTCACCCCTTCTTACGCAACTAAGAATCCACAAAGCAAAAAAGAATTTTGCAAGGACAGGAAAAGCTGAAGCTTACATTTTATTAGACGTGAGGGAATTGAACTGCAAGATATAACCTGATAAGAAACCTGGCTTCAGTAGTTCAACTGCACACACAACCATCTGTTTATTTATTTAGTGTGTTGACAGGATCCAGTGCTGCAATTTCAGTTAAGTACAAATGATCACCAATGCCATGGCATTTAAAAAAAAATGAAAAAAAAAATGTACAAGCTGTTTCTGCTTCTTTGTGTTTGTCTCCGTCTCACCAGGAAGGTCAAGGACATTATCAAATATATTTATGCAAGCTATGTTAATTTTTTTAGGCCAAGGTACATGATTCAATTTCCTTGATGTAAGAGAAGAAAGCTGGCAGCCCAAAAGCGCTTGTGTATGTTGTGATGACAGCAATAGGGATGAATGCTCAAGGCTACATTAGACGTAATTCCACAGCACTGCCTGACTCCTTCACAAAGAGAAATGGTCCCGGGAGTGCCTGGGTACACTCCAGAGAGCAAAAATACATGAGCAAAAACGTAACAGTATGTGTGTATAAACATATATTCTCTCTCTATATATATATATTCCTTGGGAATCAAAACTCAGAAAGAGTTAAAGTCTTTGTAAATATGGTGTGTGTGTACACACGCATTACACATCACCCAATATTTTTTATCCATTTAATGAGCAGTGGGTGGGTTTTTCAGCTTACCTATTAATATGTAATTTCAGAGCATATCAAAGTATTTTAAAGAGTTTTACCACTTCCATCTGCAAATGTCACAACTCCTTCCTGAACTCCACAGATTGGTCCCTCCAGCAAATACCACCTAATAGAAGGCCCTAGGATGTCTGCAATTTCACATGAAAAAACCCCCTTCATCCTGGTGATGAGGTGCGTTCTTCCATTATTTCTGCCCCTGTTCTGTATTAGCACTTGTGAGCTGATCAAAAATTTCCCTTCTGATGTTAGCTAAGGCCATGTGTCCATTAGGGAGCAGTGGGGACTGACAGGAGCGCGTCTGTGGGCAGAACAGTTGGTGCTGAGGCCACGACACTCCTGCTGTGCCCTGGGTTAACTTTTGAGTATCTCCAGCCTGACAGCAGGGGTGGCAGTGCCTCGGGTGAGCTTCTGCAATGGATCTTCCCAAAGCACAACTCGTGTGTCCTGAGCCCACTCCAGGGGGTGAAGCAAAGCTTGCCAAGCTGGGACGACTGGGAGATTTGCCTCAGAAGCAATGAAGCCTAACCCAATGCAATCCATTACTCTATACGCACAGATTTACACTAGGAGGTCCTCCTGTGCCTTACACAGTAATTCAGGTAGGACAGAGTGAATGCTGAGCAGCAGGTCACCTCCTCCTGGTGGTTACTGTGTGCTGGCAAATGGGTTCCTCCTTCATTGTAGGACTGGTTTTGGACAAAATTGATAAACGCAGCAAAAAGCATGAGGAAAAGTGGTGAAACCAGGACAGTTAAGGGGAAGCAGAAAGAAACTCCTAATCAGTTACAAGATTTTTGCTATATATAATAAAAAGGCAGGATTTCTACTGGATTCAACACACACACACATATACACCCACACAAATATATTTCTATACATAGCATTTTAGTTTTTCAGATTGTTTCAAGTTCCCTGATGTGGTTTTTCAGCAGGAAGCAGGTCTATTAAAGTAAAGTGTAAATGTAGACTTTATTATCTTAATTGCTGATTCTGAGCTGCAGATTCCTGAAGACTAAAAAGTGAATAAAGCGGGCATCCTTTCTGAGTTTTGATGAGAGGGGCTCACAATCCTATTGCTCATTGATAGTTCTAGTGCTGCTACCTTGTGGGGAAAAAAGGCTGCAGCACCTTCAACACCGAGTTAGCCTTCTTGTAAAAGAGGCTATTAAGATCAATTGTCGAGAATGACAGTGATGGCCTTTTAAATGTTTGCATATTTTCGTTGTCTGGTGTTTGGGGCTTTTTTGGTTTTGTTTTTTTTAAATTTAGAAATATTTCACCCACCCTGTGTTAGCGTGATTAAACTAGCAGGTTACATGGGGAATCATTATTCAGTGTGGTCCAGATTGAGATTTGGGCTCTTTGACTGCCTAGAATTTTGGACTGTATTTTAGAAGAAGTCACAAAATCCCTCCCTGTACATTCTGGAGTGTAAGCAGTATTGCTGTCTGTGAAAGCAGTCAGAGTCTTTCTTCCATTGCTACTTCTTACAGATGCTATTTAAATCTCCTGCATGGTTACACAATGTGTAGTTTCGAAAATCCAAATGTAAACAGCTAGAAAAGCCTCTCAAGCATCATTACATTATTTTTCTTAAACGACAAAATTTGGTCAGAGTAGTTGTTTTAGAAGCATTTTCATTGGCATATGCTTTTATGTTCAGACTGAAATATCAGTTATTTCTGAGAACACAGTAAGAGTCCAGCCTTAAGAAGAAATTGTGCCAACAACTGAAACATGTTTTTCTGTTTTCTTGTTTTGGTTTCCAATTTTCAAATGCACATGCAAATACAGATTAGTATGTCAACAGGCACATAAAACACTTGATACACTTCTATTGCATACTGATATAATCCACTTTAGCAAGTTACTAAGCAGTTTTTCAAGATTATCCTTTTTCATAAAGGAGGTGCTTTGTGTTTTACTCAAAAGCTTTGGATTGGGAAAGTGGGACTTAAGGAAGTGAAAGACCTACAGAAGTCAAAGACAGAAATGGAAGAGCTTCCCCCAGAACGAGCAAAATTAAAAGTAATGTCAAAGCAATTTGATTGTTTTCATTTCAATGGGATTATGTCTGTCACTTTTTAAATAGAATGGGAGTGTAAAGATTGGTTTGGTCTTACAGCTATGTCAAAGGCAAGGAAACAATTTCTAGAAGTATTATAATGGAAAAATATGGCATGTCTTCCAGATGCAAAACAATCCTTTATGAAACGTCTATTTTTAAAAAAAAATAAATTTCAAATGCTTTTAAAGCTTTAAAGGAGTCTGTATATCTATTCCTCACACAACTGAAAGTCCTACTGAGCAAGAAGTTTGAAGTAAGGATAAAATTTACCACTACACTGAACAAGTCTGATAAATATCAAGAGTTACTCTGAAGAGCCAATAGTGTGTGAGGCAGCAATTGATGTAGCTAAGGTATCAATTTCACTATTTTGCATCATATCCTGACTGAAAAATGCAGATAGAATGCTAAAAAAAGTGCTTATTTTTTAACTTACTGCAGTGGTCTCCCAAATGAGAGTGGAAATGGTATTTGTAAATGTGCAGAATAGGAAATCCGTTTGATCTTAAAGTACTCATTTGTGTTAGGCTGCACACTAATGTTGGGCAGTAACATTTAAGTATTATTTATCAAATATCAAAAAATATTTTTATCAAAAACAGCAACATGCCAGTATTCAGTGTCATGATGCAGTTATGCCCTTGGGCCGTCGTGTTTGGAACTGCTGATGAGGGCTTGTGAGCGGGAGTCTGGAGGGCAAGGTGGGTCTGTGCAGAAACGAGCAGCCCCAGCTGAGGAAGGTCGGGGCACAACTCAGGTGCTGTTTGGCTCCGAGGTGATGTGTGAATCAAATGCCTCCCCATCACCAGCCTTGGCTCCCTCCATCCCCGGCAGAGAATCTTTTGCAAGGATGGTTTGGGGCACATGTGGCCCACACGCTTATCCCAGGGCTTCCCCTGTCTCACAATCACCCTGCACCCGCAATTCGCCACTGTCTCTTGGCTCCAAACTGTGTCACCACCAAAACACACAACCGCCAGCTCCTGCCACAGGACCCCGAGACTTGGGGGGAGCAGGGAAGGAAGGGGTACCCCTCCCCTGCTAAAGCACACGCCTGGCACAAAAGCAAACCAGCCGTGGGCAGGCACAGCCTGGAGCCCAGAGCTATCAGAGGAGCTGGGTTACAAAACCACCCTGCAATAAAGTGTGAAACGCAGCAACACTGCCTGGTTTTTGGAGGGGGTGTGCGGCCAGAAGCAGGTAAGGTGCCTCCCTGAGACAGCAGGGGAGAGCAGCCCGTGGCCCTCGGGTCCCTCACTGTGCCACACACCCGGAGCCCTCCAGGGTCTCCCACGGCGCCCCACTCTCCCCCCACACACCCCAGGCTCTCGGAAACGCTCCGGGCCCGGGCAGGGACTCACCCTTCTCGCACAGAGGTGGCCGCCCCTCGAAGCGACCCAGCTGATTGCCACCGGAGGGAACCCCCCTCCTGCCTCCCCTCGG